TTTTTGAATAATTTTCTGCTGTGTCTTGTGCCTGCCTCCTATCTTCTAACTTACAACTTTCTCCTCTCTGATTGATCTGCCCTGGACAGCTTTGAAAAGTTTCCTGTCTTTTCTCGTTGTTTCATCTGCCTTGCTTATTTAGATTTCCGTCTGAGTGCACAGAATGTTCTGTTTCTCCAGGCCTGGGTTTAGGAGTAAACACAGGTCACTCAGGCAGCTCTGAGCCCACTTCGCTTCCTGTAGCAGAAGAGGCAAGCCTCAAAGGAATGACTTCATCAGGATGCCTTCTCACTCAAGGCTTGAAGTGTGGGTGACATTCAGCTGCAGTGCACTGTCCTTGTCATTGTGTTCATGACCTCGCTGTTGGGTTAGGATCCCAGCAAGGCAGGAAGCCAATGGGCTCAGCACTTGTATTTGAATTAAGTGAATGGTTGAATCCACTGCATTATTGAAACCTGAGGGAATTGTGTGATAATTTCAAACTTACTGTAAGAAAAAATTAGGAACTTTTAATTTGATTTCCAAGCCTGATCTTTGGTATCCACAGGAAGGAAAGAGAAATTAAACCTTTCTTTTGAACCAGGCTTTTGTAATCTACATTGGCTCTGCCATCTCAGCACTCATCCTCATCTCTAAAGGAAATGCTATTAATTCTTTACATAAGAGAAACCTCCCTCTTGGCAGTGCTCCACATCCAGAGTAATCAATAAGCTGAGCGATTTGTCTTTGTAGAATAGCTTAGCTCCATTCATGTCAAGTCCAAATTCTCAGTCTGTTTTTAATTGGAACACATTTCATGCAGATTCCAGGGGCCCATGTCCTTGATGCTGCTTCTGGAGGTGTAGGGTATTAGAGAAGAAGGGGCCCTTTAAACCATCTGCTCTTGACCTGTCCTCCTCCTCCCCTTCTAGTCACTCCCAGTATGGCCCTCCAGGGGCTGCTTCCTCATTTCCATTTGGGTTAAGGTGGTGTCTTCAGACTCCCTAGTCAGTGCTGATACCCTGTGGCTGACTGATGGCTGACACTTGCCATTGGAGGTCTGTCTTAGAAACGGAGGACAAGAACCAATGCCTACCCATAAAGGAGGCTAGCTGAAATTGTGTTTAGATTTCTAACAGATCCTCTTTTAAAATTAGGCACTAGTTTTTTCTAGAAGGTTATAAGACTAAAGAAACTTTATTTGTGTGACATTGTGGCAAGGCAGTAACCTGCAGGGTCTTAAGTGAAATTTTCTCTCATATTGCAACACTGCCATTTACTTCTCACTTTGCCATTTCTTCTGGAGAAGACTTACAGTGCAGTCTTAATGGTAATGTTAATAGTAATGTTTTTACTGATTTTACATGGCTTAGTTTTAAAGCCTCTATATTCCTTGTTTAAAGTCATTAAATACTGTTGCTATAGCAAATTAAACATCCTCTTAAACTATCATAGATTGGATAAAAAGAAATCACTACTATTTTTCTCTAAGATGAGATCTATAATTCAGAACAATTCATGACTTGTTTTTCCTAACAAAGCAAAATAATTAATGCATTTGGTTATGTAGGAATTCTGAAAGCTGTAGAAATTTTAGTTTTTAGTAACCAACCATATTGAGGTCTTAAAAATGATTAAAGCGAACTCTTAAGAATGAGTTGACATATTTATTGCTTTTACCATTACATAAAACAAAATAGCTAAAACACTTTGTATTTCAGAGCTGATTAATGTCCTGAGTAGCATCAAATTCATTTGAAAAAAATATTTAGATTTGGGTAATTTTGTCTGTCTTCATTGGTGATGCATCACTGTAAGGGACTGTACTTATTTTATTATTCCTCTCATGGTAGTGTCTTACTCAGTCTTGGTCCAGTCAGCTTAGGGCATGAGGAATTCCAGATAGCTCAGATATTTTTTGAGTAATTGGAACTAGGAGCTGAAAGCCATTAGGAACTAAGGCATCACCTGTATGCTTCTCAGCAAGGCTGCTGTTTTGGAGTCCACACAACCACCATCAGGTTTGGTGAGAATCGTGGAACAGAAATACAGTCATACTCACGTCTGTGACTTACTACAATGAAAAAAAATAAATTAAAACCAGTACAAGGAGAAGGTGCATGGGCAAGGTCCAGATTGGTTGTAAGCTCCGAGTCTTTCCCAGTAAAAGTCACACAGTTATGCATTATTTCTCCAGTAGTGAATGAGTGGTGAAAACACATGAAATGTTGGCGGCCAGGTAAGCACAGGGCTTTTTTGAGGAGTGCTCGTGAGCATATATACCCAAAATCCAGGCTCAGAAGGAAAGCAAGTGCTCATCCTAGACCACGTTGTACAGACAGCTTGGGCCCAGTGTTCACTCGTCCAGTTAGGGCAGTTGTAGTGAACCTGCAGCACACGGGCTGCTGTATCATCTAGAGCTCTAAAAGGTGTGCGTCACTGATTTAGGGAATAGTGGAAACCCTCCCTAAACCAAGTTCCCAGGGCCAAAGGCCGTGAGAGATCTCATGTTCTCTGCCTTGCACAGCAGAGATGTGGCCCACCCCAGGTTAGGTACCTGGTGTGATGAACTAGCAGGTTCAAACCTGCTAGTTTTGAGTATGTTCAGACCCCAAATTCTTAGGTGAGAGGATTAGCCCAGCTTGGATTCATTATCTACCCTGGTCTGCCCCTCAGAGAAATGGGTCGCCTAGTCAGTCAGCATGGGAATTAGAGATTCTTCCCATCCAGAGAGACACAGGTGGTTCTCTTGGGGCTCAAAAGACATTCTGAAAGAAAGGCAGCTGTACGGATGCATGTGTAGAAGGCTGCTCAGACTGCAGACTTGAGCTTGCAGAGGCCCTCTTAGGAAGGGCGCTGTAAAGTGATAGAGACAGGTGGTACCTGAGAGCCCTAGGTTTCAAATCAGTCAGCTGGCCCCATTTTTCTGAGGGAAGTAGGTTAGTATGTACGCATTCATTTGCATGAAAGCAGCAGATGCCTAAGAGACTCTGTAACAAATTCAGATACCTTATCCTTAAATGCTTTGTAATATTGTAGTCTTAGTAAATTTGTCTTTAGGATTCTAATTGGAGCCAGTTGGAGTTCATGAAAATGGCCTGAATCATCCCTAAGATTGACCCTTGGAAGTGCTATACAAGAATAACAAACATTTCTGTAATATTCCTGTATGTCTACTGTGGTGTTTGTTTGATACTTTCTAGGTAAAACTTTCAGTCTAAACTATTAAAGACTCTTTTTAGCCCTCTCTCCTATGTTTAAATAATTCTTAATGTCAGCCTCTATAAGAAGCTCTGATACTTTCTGAAAGGAAACCTTTTTCTTGAGGCATGAATTACCTTTTATCGGCTCGAGGCAGGAGCTTGTGTACTGTTGAGGTGACATGAGGTGGTCTTTCTCACAGACCTGTTGGACAGACCTGTCATGTCTGTGGCCCATGTAGAAAATGTTTTCAGATCCCTTCAGTCATTGGGAAATCACCACAAAAAAGTCATCATTCCTCTTTACATCATTATTGGCTTCATGCACAATAGGTTAGTGTTCAATTAATTTAAGAAAAACATGCACCTGTGCACACATACACACACACACAGTGTGTGTGTGTGTGTGTGTGTGTGTGTGTGTGTAAACTTAAAACCCTTTGCTTCCGGGCAGACCTTCATCTTCCCTTCTTACCCGAAGTTAGGTCAGCAGTCATCACATCACCTCCACACTGCCTGGCAGACACAGCCTGTGGCTGTTGTCTGTGTCCTCGGGCCTAGTGCTCTGCTTGGTGCTCACCTCCTTGTCCCACACTGGATGCACTAATTGCCTGCAGGTGGTTCCGTCTAACGCTTAGGGTTTGCACATTGTAGCTCTCAGTTTCTCTCTTTAATGCACCCAACTGTGTCCGCAGGCTGGTGTTCACTTTTTTATCTCAAGTATCTTTGAGATAGAGAACCAACAGTCATTCCAGAGAAGATAGAATTTTACACATCCCTACCCCTCAGCCCCTTCCCCCCCACCCAAGTGCTGGGGGTAGAATTCAGGGCCCCGTGAATGCCAGGCAAGCATTCTTTCACTGAACCACATTCCCAACCTCAGGATAGGATTGCTAAGGAGAAGAGAAGTGTTTCCTTTGAGTCTGAAAATTGCATGTTGATGAACAGGAAAATAGTTCTAAGTCCCACCAATTCCTTAGCCAGAAGACTTGGGAGAAGTAAAGTGAATCTGCTTTCGGGGCATGAGTTGTGCATGTGGTGGGGGGCACCTTCCTCAGGTGCTGCAGTGGATTTGTCCACGGGGGTTTCAGAGTACCCCTGGCAACCTAAGAAATCATCTCTCCGGGAAACCTATTCTCTGAATCTACAGGGAACTACTCTGTAAGTGTGTTGATGGACTAGTGGGCCCCCGAAAGCAAATCTTTAGGAAAGAAAATGCAGAGTGCAATGCCATTAGGTTATTACAGGCTCCTCTGGTTCCCTGTCACCCTTTTACATCCCTGGGGTTGAGACCCCACTCTGACAACCACTGAGGCTTGGGGCAAGACTGGCTGTGCAGATGGCAGGGTGAGAAGTATCTCAGCATTTATTGCTGTCAGCTCTGCTGGCCTTCTTGAGGGCAGGAGTGCTGCTTGTGCTCCTGAGGGCCTGCTGGACCTGAGCCCACGCCTCTGGAGTAATGACCTTTATGGATCTGGTGGTATAAAAATAAATGGTCCTATTATTTATTGATCATTGTAAACTGTTGGACACATACAAGTTTTATGAGATTTACTAATATTTTATTGTTAATGAAAATGTTACCCCTTGATTGATTTCAGCTGCAGTTATTCTGGCAAGGTGCTATTAACTGGAAATTCCCTGTTAGCTGGATTCAGATCTGCATTTGTGTAGATCCTGTATTATACTGGGTAAATGAGCATCTGGATGTACTGGTTGGTGGAAGGATGGAACCAGGACACAAAGGCTCAGTCCTCATTAACCTGCCAGGGGTTGGCATCCAAATATGTAACATTTCTGTTGCATCTTTTGTTTCCACAGTGAGAGAAAAACGCAAGAGTCTCTTCATTAACCATGTAAGTGAAGCTGTCTCCCTGTGTTTTTCATGATGACGGTAAAGTGTAAAGAGCTTGAATAACTATGTCTTCATTGAGTAAAATGGTTCATGTATTGAGTCAGTACTTAGAAGAAGGTTGCATTGTACTCACGCTCCATTTGGCTTGTAATTGGACAAACATCACTTGATATTTATCCACTGTCCCAAAGGTTTTTCCAGATTCCCTAGACTGCTGTTGTTAACAGTGTGAACAGTGCCATTGCCAATACCACACAGGTCCAAATAAAAGCCGCTTCATTTTAATTTCTAATCCATTCTTTATACTAACTTCTAAATCATTGTTTCCTTATAGCTCATTTTCATGTGAATAAACAGAACCATTTCCATTAGCAGCTAACTGCCTCCTTACTCACTTTGTTCTATCCAGTCTCTGTTTAAAGGTCCAATAGCATCTGCACATTCTTTGGGTTCTCAGAAAAGGATAAACTTGACAGTTTAATTTGAAAAGATTTTTCAAAACTTCAGCTCTAGCTAGCACCTTGGCCACTCTGAGCAGTATATTTTCCTTTGGCATCCATGCAGGGTATGTCCCCTCCAGAGACTTCTTCCCTGTTTGAGCAGTGGGTGCTGCTGGCTGACTCTGCCTCCCAGCCCACACCCCAAAGCAAGCTCTGCTACAGGCAAGTTACAGCCACCCACTTCTCCTTCTGAAATATGTCCCACTTTCTTCAGGAAAAACTCTGTCCATGAGATCTGGATCGGTGAAGTAGATAAATGATCAACATAGTGTGTTATAAACCCTCAGGCTGAAAAAAAAGACTTTATTTGACCTCACAAAGTTTTTCTCAGGATTCTGAGACTGTCAGCCTTTAAGTACTTACAGACCTTGACATAGTGAAGCTGTGTATTAGGATTGTATTGCCTGCCCTTAGAAAATCTGGACAAAATGTATTTGGAAAGAATCTGTAAGCCAGGTCCGTATACTCAAGAGGCATCATGCTGGGCCGGTGGGAGACTGATGGTTCTTTTGTGGGCAATGTCAACCTGTATATTTGTGCATCAGCATTTTTCTAGGGGTCAGAGAGCCTGTAGTTTTTATCAGATTCTTAAAATGATTCATGAGTCCTTTCCTGATCCCTTAGATTTTGCAGCATTGGTATAAAGCATCTGTCCAATCAGATGTCACTAAGAAAGGATGATGGAAATTGCTGTCTTTTCTTTTTTAAAGCAGTGCTTACTTGAATATAGGAATGTGAGTGATTGAATCTAATTCTCTAAATCCTTGATTCCATTTGTTTACCTGCTGTGTGTAAGCTTGAATGCTTTCACCCCTTAGCGTGTCTGAAAGGAGCTTGCAGGGTGGGATGTGTGAGCTGAAAGGGAAGTCAGGTCTTCTTTGCTTATTGCAGCTCCAGGTGTGGTGAGGAGTGAGACAGGTGTGCTCTCTGGTTCTGACTAAACCCCTGTTTTGATATGCTCTCCCACCGAACCTCGCACTTTGTGCCCTGCACATCCTCACACCTGCTGTGTGCTGACCCTGTGTGTGGGTAGGCTGTGCCTCTGGTCTCAGGATGTCCTCCCTAACTTAGCCCAGCCCTCAAACCTCTCTGAAACCTCCTATGTCCTGACAGCATGTGAAGTCACACAGTTCTTGTGATCTCTCAGGTGCACTTGTTCCTGTGTCAAAGAAGGATCAGAGCTAAGTGTCTTATGTAACAGATGAGCCTGGAGCCAGTGACCCTCCAGTTAATGTGCAGACCTGGCTGCAGATGAGCATGTCACTTCTGCCTCCGCTGGGAAAAGCCTTGGAGTGTGCCATCCCATCCCACTGAATGCAGCTTGAGTGAAATTACCTGCAAGTTCAGTTAGGCCAAAGCAGTAGAGACTGGATAAGGAATAATCAGTGTTGTCTGCTGAGTACTTCACTGGATGTGCCAGACCCTGTTCCGGTTGCTTGAACATAATTAATGCATGTTTTTAGCATAGTAACCACAGTATCATGTATCATTCCCATTTTATTGATGGGGAAACTGAGGCACAAACAAGTTAACAAAATAAACAATAGAACCAAGATTGAGACTTGGCTCTTGCACTGTCAGGTAGTGACACCATTTTTCACAGGGACAGAGGTTATTTTATTTATTTATCTGAAGTTGGAGGATAACATTTATAATTAAATTTTCATAGGACAGTCTGTAGGATCATTTCTCTAAATATGGATCCCAAGTAAAACTTGTAATTTAAATTACTCTTAAATTCTAGAAGACCAGGTATTCTTTGACCTGGTTTTTGTATAACCTTATCATATTTTACTTGCTGTATTGTGAGAGAGCTTTTTGTTTTGCTTGCTCAGTCAAGTTCCTGGAAACCTTTTTAATATTTGATTTGCCTTTTTGTAAGGAATATTGTTTAATTTCTTCTTCACGTTTCTGATGACCCTACTTTGTACATGTTGCTCAGGTAACCTACAAAAAGGCTATTATTTAAGAGAAGTGAAAGCAGATGTTGTAGATAAGCCAGGTAAGAGAAATGGGAATGGTTCTACTGAATTCCTAGGGTGATGATAACTACAGAGAAAATTTCTAATGTCCTTCAGATGAAGAAAATAAGGTTTTTCTGGCTTCCAGTACACATCAGCACGTGAAAAGAGTAACTTTGGCCCAGAATTTGGGGGCAGTGAAGAGGCAACAGGGAATAGAACCCAAGGCCAGAGAAGAGGGTAGACACTTAACTGGCTCCAGACAGCCGAGAGAGACTTGGAGGATCAGGGGAAAGGGAGCTGCTTCAGCAAGGGCGTATTACAAGTTTTAAAGCCTGAAACCATTTGAGAATAAACTGCTCTGGGAGTTTGACAGCTAGGTAAATCAGGGTATTTATAAAGATTATAATCAGCACTTGTGTTTTAGATGTATTTAGAATGAAGAGTATTTATAGAAAAATTTAGTACATTATAAAACATTTTTAAAGGCATATATAAGGGCTTTATTTTAAAGGTGGCATTTAAAATTTACTAAAGTTTTGGGTTTGTTTTTTATGTTTAGTTATTTTAATAAGTCTTTCATTAAAATGTGAACATAAATTTTGATAACATTGTGGGTAGCTGCAAACTGAGAGAAAACTCATGCCTTTTACCTCAGCTTAGGTCTTCTCTTGACATCCTGCTGCTACCTGGTGACAGCATACCTAGAGTGAATTGATCATTATAAGAAGTTAAAAAAGGGGATAGTATTCAAGCAGAGAAAATCAAAAGGCCACCTTCCCTTTCTTCTCATTGGGTGAAGGTGTGCTGTAGAATTATAAAAGTCAAACTGGGGAAGCTATGTAGTATCATCCTCATGAGGAAGAAAGGCAGTTAGAGAGTGTCATTGATCAGCTCAGCAAAAGCCACATTATTAGTTGGACCTGGAGCTGAAGGAATTTTGTCTGAGCACTAGTTCCACCACCAGCTAATCGGACAACCTTGGAAAAGCCTTGCAGGCTCAGTTGTCTTATCTTCTAGGATAGATCAGAATCCCTGGCCTGCTTGACCCAAAGGAGGTACTGAAGGAAAGGTGATTTGCAAACTCTTTATAGTATCTTATAAATATATCAATATTATTATTGCCCAGTAGTGTTTAGGTAATTCCATTAATTTTCTGAGTTGAGTATTAAAACTGATAAAAGTCTGGGATTTTGAGTATGGATAGTTTTTCATGATTACCGAGAGCGGGAGGAATATATTCTGGGAGGAATATATTCTGTTAAGCTCCTTTTGAGAATACTTAGTTTTTGCTCCTCTTAAATAGTTGACTTCTCCTTTTGAGCTTTGAGTGAGACAGGGGCAGAATTACTTGTAAAATGGTGTCTCATCTGTTTGTATTCTTGGTCTGTAAATCATAAAAGACAAGGACTAAAGTGATTTTGATCCAGAAGCTTCCATTTTAAAAAATTCTAAACCTTACTTCTCTGGGACATTTGCTCTTTTGTGGGGAAAGGGTCTGCATTCTTTGTTTTCTTTTTCTTTTTAATTTTATCAGTACATGTTTGCAATACAGTGGATCCTTGACCTACAAACTGAGTTTGTTCCCAAGGGCTGGTTGTAACTCAGGTTGGTCAGTTGAAGGCTCCAGCTCCTCTACATAGCCTTCAAAGCCTCTCTCCTGTACACAGGCAGATCTCAGTGTCCCTAGAGAGACACTGGCCCAGGATTTCTCTGTTAACCCCACACAAGAAAGGATGTTGTCATGTTCCTTCCAGAACTCTTTAAGGATTAAGTCTCTGTCTCAGGCCATTGGGAAGCACAAGTGGCCAGCATTCAGGTGATAACTCAAGACTTTGGTCATAAGTTAAAACTAAAATTTGGGGCGTAACCCGTTTTTCCTGTGTCAGACTGGTCGTAACTTGAGGGACCACTAATCATGAAGTTACATTCATCTTAGAGAGTAGATTACATGTACAAAATGCACCTTGATTCTTTTTTATTCCCCTTCCCCTTATCACTTCCCTCCATCTCTAGATCCTCTTTCCCCATTTTCATTATTATTATGATGATTTTTAGTTCATGTTTATGACATATAATGTTTACAGTCATTGTGGGTATTTGATACATGTAATGACACATCTTAAATCTTTTTACTTCTCCACCCCTTCCAATTTGCAAAAGATCTATCTTTCTGTTTCTGTCTGTTTTCCTCTTTACACCTTAAGGAGAATAGCTGGGTCAAATGGAATTTCTCACTTTAGTTCTTTGAGAAGTCTTCATACCGATTTCCACAATGGTTGTAGTAGTTTACCTTTGCTCTTGATAGAAGGTACCCTTAGTAAGCAGCTGCTCTGCTGGCCTCCATGCATTATACTTGGAGCATGGGGAAGAAGGCTGACTAAGATGTTAATCTCAGTAAAATTTTAAAAATCCAGAAAGATTAATGAAATCCAACTTTTATCTTGAAGTAATTTCAAGTGATAAAACCGCTGCAGCAATAATTACAGAGTACATAGCTTTCACTTGTCACTGGAGGAACCTTAGACACTGGGTCTGAG